CATCTCTGTCCTCTTCTCCTCCCGAGGGGTCTTTGAACAACCTGTGCCAGGTGTCACTTTTCCAGATGAAGTCGGCTGCGTCCTCACTCTCCATCCTCACTCACCGATTTCTGGCGGTAGGACTGAAGTTCGCTCAGAAACATTTTAACACAGCCTGCTTCCTTGAGCTCGGCGTGCCTGTATAACAGGAGGTTCCTGCATTGCCACAGGGCGCTCCTGACACAGGACACAAACTGGTGGAACCGCGTTGCCTGGGACCCCTGCTGCTCAGTCAGGTGTCCACACATCGCCGCCTCCCTTGTCGTCAGCCTGACTCCTGTCGCTCTTTCAAGGAGCTGGCTTACCTTTTCCCTCACACCCTTGGTATAGGGGCAGTACCATAAGAGGTGATCAGGAGTCTCTGCTTCTTTTCTCGCCTGCCCATTTGGCACAGCAGCCACTGGGTCATAGACCCCTGCTCTACATTGTGTCAGGGCGGCCAGGGAAAGATCAGCCTCCTCCCTGCATTCCTGAGGCTGGGCACCCATCATGAAGGTTGTGTTTGCTCTTATTTAACATGGGAAAAAATAAGAAACAAAATGAGGGATCAATCCCAGCTCTCTTCCCCTTTGGATGCCCATTCCATCACAACAACCTCCAGGTGCCCAAGCCTCTACCCATCTGTGGTACTGCCGTCACCCCCATTGCCCTGTGAACAGCAGCATCTTCCCATCTGCAGCATGCTTACCCCCTACATGGGAATAATAGTGCTGCCCTCCCATTTCACAGATGGGGATACTGAGGCAGTGAGCATTTAAGTGCTTTGCTCAAGGTCATGAAGTCTGTAGCAGGGCAGGAAATGGAACTAGGGCGCCTTGAGACCCAGGGTAGCACTATTACTACTGGGACATCCACTCCTCCCTGCTTAAATGGGCTTGGCCCTTGAAGGGAGAGGAAAGGACTAATTCTCCTCTCCTTCTAATTTTACTTCCATTGAATTCTGGCTTCACTGGAGTTATTCCAGACGACACTAGTGTTCACGACTTGTGTCTACTTTGTGCAAGTGTAAGCCTACCCAGTTCTGCTCCCTCTCATCTCCTCACTTATTCCCTTTCACTGGCTGATGTAACTAATCAGCTCCAGAGCCACCTACTTCAGCACCAGTTACAGCACAAGGGAAGCTGATGGAGTGCTTGCCCTTGGGCAGTAGGTCTGCCTGCATGCTGGTGCTACCTCCTGCTGGAAAGGGTCACAGCAAACTGGGCCACACTGCCCATAGATGCTGCTCAAGTCCAAAAGCAGA